TTGGGGGAAATTTCGAGGCTGCACATGAGTAGACTTCGTGTCCTTAAAATCCCCACAATGCTTTGCGCATGGACCAATTTCCCCAAATCTGTGGCGGAAGATGTAAGGCGGGGCCTCTAATATGACGCACACCTGCACACTTGCTAGCCTGTTCCACTCTTTGTTTTCCGAATGCCAGGAAGTATTCTTGCCTTGCTTCTCAAGCAAGATGCTCGGCTGTGCTACCAAGCAAGCATCCTCGCGATTGAGAAACGGCCACAGTTGTTGTAGTGACTCACCAGTTCAGCTGGGGTGGAGGAGGAGGATGGGGGTGTACTGGGGGTGTACTGGGGGTGGGAGGTAATAAGGGAGTTAAGGTCTCTGGGGTCGATGTAAGTGACAGTTAAATAGATCATCTAGATGCAGAACGCAGTGGATTTGACGCTGATTGGTTCACATGTTATAATCTTAATCAAAGTGCATGAGTGCAAAATGAAAACTGTATCCAAACCCATCTTTATTTTTTTAGCTCTGTTAAGGATCACAAGGAAAAATGTAACTTCATTATGTCATGGCACTTTCATGGTTAAAATTTTTTTCACTTTGTTCAAGGCAGTTAATTAAAAGTGGTGTCGGGAAGTTTCATTTCTGGCCTTCCTTTTTTTCACCAAGTGTTCAGCTCTTCTCCATTTACATTAGCCATGATAAGTGAACGTCTTGAGAGGGATAGAATCATGTGGAAAAGAGATGTCAATGCATGCTCTCTATAGCCTATGATGTGCTCTCCATTAAATCATATAATTACTTGTATAAATTAAGATGTAGGGACGTTTAGTCATATTACAGCAAACCACTATTGCAGCATGATACATTTCTCCAGGAACATGTATTCTTTTAATGTATTTATTTATTGCCAAAATGTGGCAGAAAGAGTGTGTACTTCCTGCTTTCCCATTTGGCACAGATCTTTTTTCTTGCTTATTTATCAACTGGTGTGCTTAATTCTTTTTTTTAAATGGTTATGTTAATCAATCAGTCATGACACACCTTTGCACAATATGGTATCTGTTACGGGTGTCTAGTTTTAAACCTGCATTCGCTGATTTATTTTGCTGTGGTCCACTTGGTGGCAGTGAAAACAAATTGACAAAGCACTACTCATAGTTCCACCTTTGATCAGACAATAGTGTAGTGATGGATTCAGAATACTGTATATCACAACTGCAGCACTAGAATCTGAGAAAACAAAGCATTCTAGTGTTTTAACCTTTACTTGTTTTCTACTTGCCAATAGTCAAGGGACAAAACATATCCCTGATCTTCAGGTAATACAATATATTCTTTTGAATGTCATCCTGTAGCCTATATGAACATTTCTTTGCTTATACTTGTCTTGTCCTCAAAATACATGATTTTTTTTCATAACATGAAAATAGAACAGCTCCAGGGGTTTGAAACAACAACTTATTGTGCTGTCAATCAAATCACGGTATTGAAGACATTTGAACTTAAAGTCTTTTTTGTTGTACAAGATGTCATGAGTTCCTGGAAATGGTTAGTGTTGATGGTTCTGAGAAATCATTTGCATTGACTATTATTTATGTTCCGAGGCACATATTAATTTAAAGAGGTGTGTCTGGATCCTTGAACAGTTCTTATTCAAATGCAGAGGGGAAATCCTGGCCTTATTTCTCCAAACACATAATTGAGGTAAAGAGGTGCTGAGAAATTACTCAAAATAAATGGCAGAATGAAAGAACCTAATCAAAAATAAGATGGAGATATCAGTAACACGTATAGGTTGTGCTCAGGCCCTCCTCCGTCCAATTAATGTCAAGACATCCTGTCCACAAAATAATTACTTGAGGACAGTTAACAAAGCTTCAAACCTATCCTCGGTTGGATCTTTCAAAGGTAACAGAATCCACAAAAAAACTGGAAAAGGAGACATTAAACAAACAATAGAGGTGATTGAAGGTAGATTTTGTTGTTCTGTGAGACACAACCAAAACTGTTTGCAGTCTTAAAGCTAGCCTGCCTCCTAGCTCTAGCTTAATATTTAGCATACAGACCATAGACAGCATGATACAGAATTACATGAGAGTATTGCTCTTCTAATCTTACTCGGCAGAATACATTTTCAAAATAACATACAACAGCCCTGTCATTTAAATCTAAGTAACCTTGACGACAGGCATTCAAAGCTTCATTCCGAAACCCGAAGCTTTAAATGGGAAAACTAATATATTCGGTACTTGTCAATCTAGATCTTACTGTGAGTTGAGGCCTATGATTAACAGTATCCATCTATACTACTTGTGTAGCCTATGGCGGTAACTGTACCCAATGCATGGGCAGGGTACATCCTGCACATGTTTACAGCCTTTCTCAGGGCGAAACAAAGTTGTCACAGCTGAAATTTCCGCAGAGGTTTATTAACATTAGATGTAAAAGATTGACCTAAAGCTCCAAAAAACGTTAACTCAATCTTTAATGTGCAGTCTTTAATCAATATTTCACAGTTAAGACATGTGGACATTGATAAAGACGTGAATGGATTTTGACAGCCACTTCACTTTTTAAGTCTGACAAATACAAAAAAAGCCTAATTGTTTGCATATGTCTGAAGAGAGAAAGAAACAACTGTTGTGTTGTGGACAGTAACTATGAGCTTCAATAACTTTTAATATTCACTGTTCATCAAGATTGTAGGTGATTAATTTCCAACCAGTTATTGACTGATCGAGTAGAACATGAATGAAACCCACATCTTCTTAGTCCAATAATTAAATATTCTTATCACTCAGCTATACCACATCTGTTATTCAACCATCCATTTGTGCTGGTACTGCAAGCTGATATTGTCTCATCTAATTTGATCCAGGTAAAAAATGCCACATATTCACCTAAAGGTACAGTATTTCTGAAATTAGTCATTTCCATTCATTAATATTTGCAAACAAGTTGCATTTGTGGATTTATTGACATTGGGGAATCAGGGGGTCCACTGTGGTGAATCTATGGTAAATAAAACAATACTTACTGTATAGTCCCAAGGTGCAAGAAAACGTGTCTCTTGACATACATTTCACATTAAGTGTTTTTCAATCGTAAAAGGCTTTAGCTCATATTCACCTTGATGGATAAGCTCTTTTGAGAGATCTCGCTTTCTTTTTAACTACAGATCAATAGGCCTATAGGGGCTATACTTATTTATGGCATAAGAGCACCATTTCCGCCCCTTAATTGCAATGAAGTGCAAACTGCAGATTTGCATATGTTCTATCTCTCTGTGAGGCTTGTGAATATATGCTGTGACTCATTAATCAGTCGCTCATTACATGCCTAGGATATTAAAGAAATGCAAGAGCGGAAACGAGACACTTGTTGCTAATTTGCATGTCACTTAGCACTGCGCAGAGCACCTCGGTGAGACTCGCTGCTTCAGGTGCAGTCTGTTATTCTGCAACCTCCAGGACGGAGCATCTGACGGCAGCTTTCTCCTTTCCAAAGACGTTTGTATGTAAGTAACATGCTTGTATTTTTTGTATTCTTGGTTCAGTCTGAACTAAACTATTTTACGCAAGGATTACGCAAAATAAAATGAAGAAAATATTTTTTTTTCGGAACGCATTTAAGTGAAATGTCACGAAAAAAGAAACTTTGTTGATTGTTAATTCTCTTTGGATTTCTTATGTATTTATTACTAAATAATAGAGAGGTTTTCACAGCAAATTCTACTTTACTTTTAGCCATATGGATTAGAATACAACAATCTTAATAAAAGGTAATTATAACGTACTTTTTCACAATTAAAGTGCATAATCCCGGCAGTATTTGCGGTGCAACTGTGTTTAGAGAAGCCAGACTGTGTGCAGTTTAAAGCTTTACAAGTTGTGTATGAGGTTTAGTTCATCCACATGATGTTGGTGACTGCTGCTTGTTATAGGGGCTGCATTGCTCAGCTGCTTGTTGTTACTATACTGTTGGGGCTCTACCAAGATATTTATGTTTCTTCTCAACAGCTTGGTGCACTCAATCATTTACTTGTATCCTTGCCAGATGTTAAATGTAGTTGTGTACATTACTAAGAGCCAATTTGTAATACGTGTACCAAAAAAAGTCCCTCCAAAAATCACCTGTTGATATCACAACAGTGAGTCACATTACAGATGCAGTTTTAATGAGCAAGGTCTTCAAACGACGGTCACTTGAAAATTAGACACCTGCTGCTTTTCTAAATTAGACTCCTGCAGTTTTTCTAAATCAGACTCTGTTTTCATATTCAGAAGAACAGTATCTGCTTTTGAATTCCCTCTTGGGATGTTAACACTAGAGATATCAACACACTTCCTTTTGGTCCCTGAACAGTTGAAGATACTCCTGATCTGTGAGAGGTATATACCACTCTTGAAATTGTAAGTGTTAAAGTCACATTATTCTGCCATTGTGTCAAACAGAGTGGGGGAGCTCTGCTATACAGTATAAGAAACTGATCCTTATCAACCCGCTACAGGCAGTGACATTAAATCAGTGTCTGTCAGTCTGTACCCATGGTGGGTTACGCTGAGCCTAAGGTCGGACCCCCACAGATGACAGGGACATGGGTGCCTCTGAGGTCGCTTTGCTAATAAAAGCGTTTCCACAGCAGCAGGGCCTGCAGGCCACACTGCATTTCTCAAGTGTTTATCAGCTAAATGTCATATTTTTGGACCTATGGCATACCATGAAGAAAAATCAGGTCTTATGGGTAATGAACACTGCCTCCTGGTCAAAAATATGTTTGATTGACAGTAAATTGAGATCTAAATACAGCCCTCAATGAAAACTCTAAATAATTATCCGTTATATGTTTTTTTCATATAAGTGTATTCAAAATACCTCAGCTGGATTTCACACAGCAAACATAATAATAATAATAATAATAATAATAATAATAATACATTTCATTTATATAGCACACTTTAAAAACAACGTAATCTCAAGGTGCTTCACAATGCTATAAGGAGAAAATAACATGTCGTTTATTCAGGAATTGATCTGCACACCCTTTTTTGAAATCAATTTCAGCACTTACCAAAGTTTCAGCTGTCAAAACAGTTTTTTTTTCCTTTTCTCCCCTCAGTGTTTCCAAAGAGGAAGAACATTTGACTGCAGTGATGGACAGGGCACAACAGATAACTGCTCTGTTCTGCCTGATGCTTCTCAAACTGCCAAAGGTTAGTTTTTGGTCAAATACAATGGCAATATTTCTTTAACGTGAAAGGTTTGATGACTTTAACCCTACTGCAGATTTATTTTTCCGGGAAGTTTGACATGAAAATGAAGGAACGTTTTTCACAAGTGTTCTTTTGTAAATGTCCCTACAGTGTGCGATGGCCAGCGGGAAAGTCTTTGAGGAGACTTATCTAAAGTGGGTCCAGTATAAAGATGACTGTGTCAAAATGATAGAAAATGAGCCTCTCCCTCAAGGTACAGTATGGGAAGCTTCAATCATTTACTACTGACTGCTCCAGCAAAAGGGATTATGGCAGAGGTTGAAAGTGAAGACAAGATCATAACGAAAATGTCAAATTATGCTACTCAAATTCCCATCTAAAATCTATGGCTTTTTGTTGAGGAGCAAATATATTTTTCAGCTGCTTTTTGTTTGTGTTTATAACAGGCTTGTTCTGCAACAGGACATTTGACAGATACGCCTGCTGGCCAGATACTCCTGCCGGCTTTATGGTCAACATCTCATGCCCCTTCTACCTGCCCTGGTATGACAAAGGTAAATCACACTTTTAGAAGACTGACTGACAGCTCAACAAACTGAAATATAATATACATTTGAGTATGTTTTGGATGTGGGGCAATATTGATTGTTCACCCCAGTAATGAGTGAATTAGTTAATACTGGCAACATGTACATTTGCTTAAGCAACCCTGCATCTTTATATTTCAACCCAGTCTCACGGCATTTCGTGTTATAGTCACGAAATTAATTTAATCTATTGATTCGTGTTCACCAACACGATTTTCGCATTTTTTTCGTGTCACACAGAACGATTTTAAAAGCAATGTATTTCTATTGGTAGTATGTTTCGTGCCTGCACCATGTATTTTTGTCCGGTCGGGTCTTGGAATACCAGAAGCTGTGTGGTTCATAAAAACATTTTTCTTATATTTTCTTACCCTAAGCCTAACCCTATCCCTTTTATTTTAAATTGTATAATGTCTGAGTTTTTTTGCCGTCCGCAAGGAAAAGAAATGGGGCTCAGAGCCTCAGAATACTGAAATCTGTATTTTTTGTCATCTTTTTTTCTTCTAATTATTTATTTGAGAACTAGTCACCATTTATCATTCAAGGAGAAACTACAGCCAGCAGACAATTAGCTTAGCTTAGCTTAGTTTAGAATGATGAGTGAAATCAGGGGGAGCCAGAGCTGCTAGCTTGATCTGTTTCAAGGTCATACAATCCATCTCACAGGACCTCAAAAGCTTATTTATATCTAAGCTTATTTGTTAAGTTGAACCACTGCATTCCCCCCCAATTTTTAGACTTTGACATGTTGATTGCAGGGGCTGGGGATTGAACCACCTACTTTCTGATTGTTAGCCCATTTAACCCCCTTAGCCACAGCAACCTTGTATTGAGAGAGCGTAGTTTTTTCTCCTTTGGAATGACCAATGATACCAAAATGATAAAACCTTTAGGGATTTGATTTTTATTGTATTATTTATGTTTAGATTTTATTGTGCTTGTGTATGCAAATGTCTTTGAGTTAATTTCCCCTTTATGCTGGAATGATAACCTGTCCAGGCTGTTTACACTTCTGCCTGATGTGTGCTGCAATTAGCTTTTACCCCCTGTGACTATAATAAGGTGTAATTAGACTGGGTAATGACTGACAGTCTGACTGTTTCTCCTGCAGTGTCGCAGGGCGCTGTGCGTCGGCTGTGTGGCTCTGATGGCCTCTGGGAAAGAGGGGACAACGGGCAGGTGTGGAGGGACATGACTCAGTGTGAGGAGGAAAAAGAGGTCACGTCTCAAGAGGTACAACAACCAAAATGTCTCCATCTCTGTTGTTAATTTGTTGCTACTTGTTGCTCATTTATATGTATGACATGATAAGGCTATCAGAGCTTTAAGGCAGGGCAAACCTTTTATCTCCAACAGTGTGTGAATAAACAGATGAGCACTATGATTACCATTAATTACTTTTAGGGATATGATGGAAACCTGTGGTGTAGGAGTTGAGAGATACAATGAATTGACCTTCACCTGAAACGACTCACCTTTGCACAATGGCAAGAATCCATCTGCAATTAACGCTGTATTGTTGTTATATAATCCTATGAATATTATTTAGCTGTTTAACAAAGTTCATTGCGGGTACAACAACAACAACAACATTTGCAGATAACCACCGAGGGTTTCTTCCTCTTGGAATTTTGCTTTAGCCCTTCATCCACATCAGAGAATTAAAAAAAAATGTTTTGAGTGACATGGATGTCCCCCCTTCCTTATCTGATTGGTTGGGTTTATTATTGATATCGTGTATTTATAAATTCTGATCCACACAAAGCCTTGTGTGATGTGAGCCCTGATTGAAGATGGGAATCCTATTTGATTAACCTGTCGACCTCCTTTTGCATGATTACATACTTTTACATCTGTATTTGATCCTTCATGGTATCTATTAGTGAATGTATATAATGACCACCGTGTTTTTCTATTTCTCATTAATATTGTATATATATTTTATATTTTATGGACCCCTGGTGTCTTTCTATTTCCTGGTATGAGTCTCGACGTTATTAGTTTTTTCCCCTGCTGTTTTCTGTCTAGCAGTTGCTGATAATTTGAGCTGATTTGCTGCCTTTTTATTGCCCTGTCAAAGGATTTATAATCTGGAATCAAACAATTTTTTCCTGGATTTGCACTCACCTGAGGTGCATTATCAGAAACTGCAGTGAAAAGACTTGGTGGATTTTAAATCAAACAACACAATTAGAAATATTTTGATTTTGTAAATCTTGCAGATACAACACCCCTTAATCTTAATGCCGTTAAGAGTCAATAATAGGTGGTAACTTTAGTGAAGCAATCTGTTTTCTTCCCTGAAATTGACAGGTTTTGATTTGTCTTCACAGCTGTGGTTCAAACAACTGATGTTGAGCTTCAGGATGTTGTACACTGTCGGCTATTCCTTGTCGCTGTTTACGCTCATAACGGCTCTTATTATTCTTCTGAGCTTGAGGTAAGCTGTCAAACGAGAGAAGTGATTAAAGGGTTATAAAACAATGGCATTACAAAACAACACAAAAGATACAAAATCAAATCTGCCTATTTTAATATGAAGAAGCCAACAAAATCAAGATCAGAGAAGCAAGATAAATATACACATGTAATGCCCTTGATATACCAAATGTAAACGTGGGGTATTTGTATGTCTCCTGGCAGGAAACTGCGTTGCACCAGGAACTACATTCATGCCAACCTCTTCCTGTCTTTCATCCTGCGAGCTGTATCGGTCATTATTAAAGACACCATGCTTGACCGCCACTGGGGAAGAGAAATCATGAAACAAACTGATGTAAAGGACATGCTCAGTGACGAGGTGGGTTTGTTGTTATTTGTTGAAGTTTAAACATTAGCCTTTTGTAACTTGTATGTGTTATTTCCATTCCTTTTAGGCTGCTATTGGCTGCAGGATAGCTCAGGTAGTGATGCAGTACTGTGTCCTGGCCAATCACTATTGGTTCTTTGGAGAGGCCATTTATTTGTACTCTGTGCTTATTGCCTCAGTGTTCATCGACAACAACAAATACTTACCTTACATCTGTCTTGGCTGGGGTAAGTACCTTCTCTGGGATTCATTACCTTTATTTATAATATAGCAAAACATCATATATTTATATTAATTTGAATATAGCAAAGCATCCCCTGTAACAGCAGTGTAGCTCGATAAATAACAATCATGTTTTTGGTATTATGAACTCATTACATCAGGTTGATACCATATCCATACCAGATTTCAACAAATGTTTTAGTGTGTTTACTTATCAAACCAAATGTTTTTAAAAGCACCCACACTGAACCCTGCAATATTTTCTGATTTTGTCGCAGGAACTCCACTTCTTTTTGTGGTTCCATGGGTGGTGATGAAGCAATTGAAAGAAAACAAAGAGTAAGAATGTGTGCAGGTGGTTGCCCTGTTTCCATCTGTTCATCATTACATTTTTGCTTTCACAGGTCCATATTAGAGAGCAGAGAAATGGTAACAGCTGCGTCTTTTCTCGTCTCAGGTGTTGGGCTGTCAATTCCAACATGAACTACTGGTGGATCATACGTTTCCCCATCCTTCTGGTTTCACTAGTGAGTCATCATCTGACATCTGGATAATATGAATGTCTACACAGAACATAGTAATTAACATTACGATTTTCAACAGATCAACTTTCTGATTTTCATCAAGATCTTGAAAGTCGTTCTTTCAAAATTACGAGCCAGCAGCCAAAGCAGATTTGCGGATTACAAACTCAGGCAAGTTGTCTCAGCCTTTTTTCAATGTCGATGATACATTTCATATGTTCAACTCTTAACATTCTCGCTGTTACAGCATGTCACAACAACAAATGTTGACAAGAAGCATTGTGATGGTGTTATGACTAATTGCTCTGCTGTTTGTTCTGTCCTGTTAGGCTTGCCAAGGCAACACTCACCCTCATCCCTCTGTTTGGCATTCATGAGATAATTTTCATCTTTGCAACAGATGAGCAGACTTCAGGTGTTCTGCGATACATTAAAGTTTTCTTCACCCTTTTTCTCAATTCATTTCAGGTAGGTTTAATTAAATCAGAGAGAGATGCTTTCTTGGCCAATATATCAAAAATAATGTCTGTTGTGTTCCTGCATAGCAAACGAAATAAACAGGACTTTTCTGTGGTTCCTCTGCAGGGCTTTCTGGTGGCTGTGCTTTACTGCTATGCTAATAAAGAGGTTTGTTGTTTCATCTCATACTCACATTTTCTATACCATACATAGAAGGTTCTCAATGTCACATTATCTGAAATATGTACATTAATCTATATGGAAAATGTGAAGTATGTCTTAAATCATATTAAAACATTGTTAATAATCCTGATAATGGGGAGATCTTTATTGAGAAACCCATGTAGGGTCGTCAGGTTGAGATGTACAGCTGGACAGATCATTAAAGAATGCATTAGAATGAAAAGCCCATTGTTTTAGTCATCTACTTGTGGGCAGTGTGTATTTGATTTCATAAATACCGTGATAAATTACTTCATTTTTCAAGTATGGACTGGAAAATGTCATAAAATGTTACACCAAATAGTACAGTCACTCTGAAATGGATTTTATTATAACCATAATAAATACTATTGTGAATGGTATTTGAAATGGCTCACCTCCACTTTGTTTGCAGGTTAGGACAGAGCTGAAGAGGAAGCTTCGCAGCTGGAGGATAGAGGCTGAGGTTGTTTGCTGTGGACAGTGACTAGCTGTTTTTGGCTCTCGTGTGGAAACGTTCTCCAACGCCAAAGTGGCAGAGCGCAACAGATCCTCCATAACGACCATAAGAGCAATGACTGATGGTTCACCGACTCCTGAGGGTTCACTTCTTTCTAGACGCCAACTTCAACCAACTTCACCACAGCCTGAAGCTTCTTTGCTGCAGAATCCATCAGTGGTGAATCGAGACAATTCTATGCAGCATTTGGACCAGGAGGACATTGGACAATCGTCAGTGGCAATGCAGGTGTCCTTCCTCATTCACCTTCAAGACCCTGTGGAGTCACTCCCAAATGCTGTAAATATGGACTCAGATTGAATATGTTTTGGCATTGACTGTACATTTTAAGATGATATTTGGTCTGTTGTGACTTGTGAATACTTAAAATTGTGAATAAGTAATTGTTATATGAGTTGTACAATTGTGAACAAGTGATTGTGATTATTTAAGACTTTACTATCTTTCATACAAATGGAGTATATAAATTAAACGTATATTTGTTTACACTATATTGTTTAATATGTGATTGAAGATGTAGCCCCTGTAGGTCACTGTGTAACCGGTGTCGTTAAGCGTTCTCTGCGTTGTGTTTTGCGTTGTTCATGGATGACCCGAGCCAGCATACAGCTTTGACGATCTCCCTTTTATTACTGACAATCTGATAACAGATATAATGATCAGTTTTACATTAGGTTTCCCTCACAGTGACTCTTCTCACGTGGAACATTTACAAAAAGGGACAATCCAGTCTCTGATTGTGTTACGTTATTATGAGAGTGCTCTCATACTTGTTTGATTCTGAAATTGTATATTTATATAAATATATGTGTGTATATATGTCCGCATCTGTAGCCTGTTATTGTCTCATTATACCACACTGTGAATGAATTAAAAGTAAATATTTAAGTCGTCATGAACACATCTGTCCATCAGACAGAGGGCTGCTGTGCCTCCTGTCATCATTAATGGACATCTCTTTAAAATGACCGCTCAGAGGAGAGGATTTCTCATTTCTCTAACCGCCTGCTGCTTCCACTCCTCTCTCCTCGGTTCCCCTCCTCGACTCCTCCGCTCGCATCTCCTGTGGGCGGGACTATGTCACGAGGATAGGAGTCGAGGAGGGGAAATTAGAGAATTGAGAAGCCTTTAATATATAGGGGGGGAAGTCCTCACAACAATAATCTCCTGAGCACAGCGACCACACTTCAGAGGTTCCGCCCACTGATCTCCGACCTTGTCAGGTATTGAACATTCAATAAAATGAAGAACACAGAATTACTTAATATAAAACACAGAATTTGTGTGTTTATACAAAATAATTTACAAATAAACCCCACTGCATATTTACAACTGTTACAACTGGATAAGATATATATGTTGAATGAACAGAATTATAGCATTATAGTAATCAGAAACAAGGTCTTGAAAAAGGTTATAAATGTCAAACTTTAAGTCAATCTACACCTGAACTATATGCACTGTTCTTTATAACAAATATTGGGTTAGCCTTTTTGTTTTCATATTACAAAAAACAGTGGTGTAAAGTAAATAAGTACATTTACTCAAGTAAAATATACAATTTTGAGAGACTTCTTCTTTACTTCAGGATTTATTTATTTGTGCTACTTTGTACTTCTACCCCACTACAATTCAGGGATAATGGTGTACTTTTACTCCACTACATTTATTGAATACCTTTAGTTACTTTGCACATTTTGTAACAACACATTAATAAGATCAGTTAGATCGGGTAAATTGCACAAGCTACCCTATACAGCACTTTTATTTAAGTACAACATCTGAATATTTCTCCAACCTCTGCTAAAATAACACCGTTTCTTCCTGAATTGCTTTTTTGCTCAGTGAACTCCATTACCCAGAAGCACCAGGAAAAGCAACGTACTTACGTCATGAGCGTCGTGCTGTCGTTGGCAACGGCGGAGGCTGGAGCGGGAAGGATACAACTCTAGCAGTTGTCAAATCAAAACTGTTGTTCACTTGCTTCCCGGGAGAACTGGAAAAGGTCTCTTATCTAAAAAATGATGTGAAACTAAATGTGTTATCATAGTTCTTCACTGTGGGATTCTGATAAGGAGCTTTTCCGTTCATTTAGCTGTCTGTTTGCTAGCTAACCTCTCTAAAGCCCCACTAGCTGCCCGTGTTCTCAGCTGCAGACACTGAGACATCAACATCTCCTGTTTGAAGCATTGTGTATCAATGGCCTCCAAAGGTAAAATTAACCTTTTTAATTAAAGTCTTGTCCTGTTCACTTGTTAACTTATAACGCAAATAGTATACGTTGCTAACTTATAATGTCAATAGTTTACATTTGTTACTTATGAGTTGGCCTATCAAAGTACATTGACTTCAATTCTCAATGTTAATCTGTATATTAATGTTGATATTCCATAGAGATACTCTAGGTATACATATTTCACTGTTGATATATATGTACTGTTCTTTTTTGTTTATTTATTACTGTTAATACATGTATATCTGCTGTTGTTTTTGTATTTTGTATTTCATTTAATGTTGAGTTCATGTGCAATGCTGCTGTGACAACATCATTTCAAAAACTGGATCAATAAAAGTATATATTATCTTATCTTATTATGCAACCAATATTGTAAGACAATTTGACAGTTTAATGCTGTTATTCACCTTGTTTTGACTTCCCAGGTTGGCAGCATCCTTACGTCAACATATTCAAACATGTCAGGGTTGAAGACTGGAAACGGTCGGCCAAAGAGGGGGAAGTGTCAACATGCACGGTAACCTTGCTGCACACTAATGTTGTACTTATGATATTTGAAGTTATACTTGACCCCCAAACTATCTTTTATTTACCAATCACTCACTGCTGTATGATTGATAAGTGACTGTTAAAAGTGTAAATTCGTCTATAGCTTTGCATGAATTTCATTTCAGCTACAAAGTATTGTGTAGTGACAGGTTTTCACACGGGATAGAAAACCCTCAATACAATTTTTTTTTCAAATCCTGCAGCATAGTTCCATTTTCTGTAGGCTCAGTATGTAGAAAAAGTGATATTTATGCTAAATTAACTGCTTTTCATCCAACTTTAAAGGACAGACAAGTTGATTGATGTGGTTTTCTGAGAAGAATAATTAATTGTATGTCCTTGATAAATCTCCTAGGACAAGCGCCTGAAGTGCTCAGTGTTCAGGATCAGAGGTCCTGTTCCTGCCAACAGCTTCATCATGATACCCAAAAACATCAACCAGTCTCTGGGGCTGACCGGTCGCTTCTTCTACCTTCTCTTCAGGCCCACCCCCGGAAAATACTTTGTGGTCCACCTGGATGTTTCTGTCGAGGTATCGGATCAGATTTCATTGATATGTTTGTGCTATCTTAACGATATTTCATTTCTTTTAAAGGTCCCATGTTATGCTTTTCCAGTTATTACCCGTCCCCTTGTGTGTTATGAAGGTTTTAGCGTAGATTCTGGTACTTGAAATCATGTCACACTGTTGGATATAATTAGCTCTCACAGTGGGGGATTTTCATTGGTTTTATATAACTCTTAAAAATAAAACCACAGCAACTTGCTTAGTTGCAAAATATTCAATAACTATCTACTATAAATGCCGCTATGGTGTAAGATGTAATTGATTTAAAAAGAAATACATTTTCTTTCCCTTTCTCTCTTGTGCTTTGATGTGTACTGTAGGAGGGCCAGGTGGTCCGTATCTCTTTTTCCAACATGTTCAAAGAATTTAAATCCACGGCTACCTGGCTTCAGTTTCCTTTCTTGTGCGGAGCTGCAAAGGATTCAGTCTATGAAAGCACAGCTAAATCTGCAAGACACGGTAAGATACAAGAACAGCCATACTCATCTAGATATGAGCCATTTGTTGCGTGCGTTTGCTGATAGTTCGCTGTATTTTGTATATAATGTAAATAATCTTGCAATATTTGTGTTTCTGTGGTCCAGGTTTAGTGGGTCCTGCTCCCACGTCAGTGCGTTGGACCTGTCTGACGCTGGATCTGCAGTACGCTCTCTCCGTCTACCTCAACCGCTGCTACAGTCAACTCAAAAGCATTAAGCTTTGTGCCAACATGGCAGTAAAAAACATGTTCACCAGCAACCTGCTGCTAGATCCAGGTGAGACTAAGATGGCATAGATATGTACAGTATTATTATACTCTTTGTTTATAGTTGTGTATATCCCTGGTGGTTTTATACAAGTAAGAAAGATGATGTCAAGTGCTGTTCTCTAAGGGACACTCAAACCACTTAATTAAATAATCCCAATTAGCAACCAACATTGATAACCAAGAATATTTAGAGCACACTTCAAATCCTTTAAGTGGGAACAAAATCTTCTCATACCCATCATTCTGCCCACTCACTGCTATATAACATGTGCAATATTATTATTATTAATAATGTTCTATAATAACGTGCAATTACGTATCTGCCACTACGTTTTTTTTGCACTACTAAATACTGCTTGTCAATGTACAGTATTTTACATTAATTATGTGACCGTCTACGTTTCCTGTAGATATTTAATTGCTCTTTTTACTGCACTGTTAGTGTACCGTTTTATTATTATGCTGCTGTGTTTATTGTATTTTTGTAACTCTGGCACAACAATGTCCTTCGGGATAAATAAAGTCCTATCTTATCTTATCTTATCTTATTCCTCATTAGACTGCAACCTCAGATCTCTAGATAGTGTCCTCTTAGTGACTCACGTATCACATCTTTACTCAACAGGTCTTTCCTTCAGTGAAGCCAAGCTGATGGGTCTGGTTTCTTCTGAGGGAACGGGTCCCGTCCCCAGAGACATGTCATTTCCTGTTCCCAAAGGAGGCTCCTGGCACGACCTCTACGATCACATCAGGTATGGTAACCTCACCTGGAAACTCAATGTACATCGCTGATATTATTCTAGAAGCAGAATCTACCCTGAACTCCTTTTTGTCGTTTTTGGGGCTGTGATGTTTGGTAGTTTATTTTGAAATAGTTATTATCCCTGTTGACTGTCACTGATGTTAACAAAACAAAGAATAGTCCTGACTCTTCAAATGTCAATGTATTTCATTTCTTCTCCAGACTGGTGACAACATATTGGGCTCTCTAGTCAGTGTGCTGCGCTGGTTGTTTTTTGTGTTGTTGTTGTCTTCTTCTCTGAGTGTATTGGCTGATCAAAAACGTTTAAGGTGCCACCTACAGTGTGTATATGCTGTGCTTGTTAAGTCAATGAAAGCAATTTGGCTTTGTATTATCAACCAAATATTCATCGGCTATACTTTCATTACCAGAATAAAAACATAACAATACAAACTTCCCATTATTGGCTATTTATGAATTTGGGAAACTGCAGCTGCTGCTTTCGTCACAGTGTACACCTATTTA